TTTCCCCCTGAGACAGAGTCTTTCTGTGTCCCCAGGCTGGAATGCAGTGGGGCGATTGTGGATCACTGCAGCCTCTGCCTCCCAGGTTCAAGCAATTCTGTCTCAGCCTCCTGAGTAGCTAGGACTACAGGTACATACCACCATGCCTGGCTAATTTTCATATTTTTAGTAGGGTCGGGTTTTACCATATTGGTCAGGCTGGTCTCAAACTCCTGACCTTAGGTGATCTGTCTGCCTCAGCCTCCCAAAGTGCTGGGATTATAGGCATGAGCCAATGCTCCTTGCTTCAAGGCTTTTTGAAAAACTAGCAGAGCTTAGAAGAGGCTCACTAATTCAGGGTGGGACCAACTTAGTATTCAGCGATAGCTAATTTAGCCTTACAGCAAATTTTAGCAATTGATACTTCATAGGTGAACCGTTTTTAGAAGTACAATGGATTTTTCCTGTGAGAAACTATTTTATTGACCAACGGGAAACTGAGTCTATTTCTAGTATTGTAAAAATGCTCAGGGAACAGGGCATTGTAGTCAGATTAATTTTCTGGCTACCTGGCCTGTAGCATGTTTCAGTATTTGTTGAAAATCATTCTGTTTTCCTCCTTTAGTAAATACAGGAGCCTGAAAGTGAGATTTCTGCTCCAACTTGGGGCCATTTTTTAAGAATGTCCTTTTTTTTTTTTTTTTTTTTTTTTTTTTTTTTTTTTATTTTTTTTTTTTTTTTTTTTTTTTTTTTTTTTTTTTTTAGAGACAGGGTCTCGTGCTGGCCTACTGCTGGAGCTCAGTGGAGTGATCATAGCTCAGGGCAGCCTCAAACTCCTGGGCTCAAGTGCTGCTCCTGCCTTAGACTTCCAACCCATTATGCCTGGCTAATTTTTCTTTTTCTTTTCTCTTTTTTGTGGTGTAGGTATGGTCTTGCTATGTTGCTCAGGCTGGTTGTCTTGAACTCTTGACCTCAAGCAACCCTTCTTTGGCCTCCCAAAGCACTGGGATTACAGACAGGCATGAGCCACCATGCCTGGCCACATTTTTTTTTTTTTTTTTTTAATTTTGCTTGTGACTTTCTGCTAAATATGGAAATAACCATACCAAGAGTCATAATCCCAATTAACTGGGTATTCTTGTTATGTAAGTTCCAATTCGTAAAATGTTTATATTTATTAAACCAACAATTCTGTCATCTAATAATTTGTAAATTTATTGGTAAATTTATTGGATTAGTGCCTGTTTTCCCCATTAGATGGAAGCCTCATGAATGTCAGAAGAACTGTTTTCTTTACTTCTTTACCACTAGTCCCTAGTAGAGCTCCTGCTACATAGTGGGACCTCATTAAGAATATGTGGAGGCTGGGTGCTGTGGCCTGAGCCTGTAATCCCAGCACTTTGAGAGGCCAAGGCAGGCGGATCTTCTGAGGTTGGGAGTTTGAGACCAGCCTGACCAACATAGAAAAATCCCTTCTCTACTAAAAATACAAAATTAGCCAGGTGTTGTGGCACATGCCTGTAATCCCAGCTATTTGGGAGGCTGAGGTGGGAGAATTGCTTGAACCTGGGAGGTGGAAGTTACAGTGAGCTGAGATTGAGCCATTGCACACTTCAGCCTGAGTGACAAGAGTGAAACACTGTCAAAAAGAATAAATAAAAAGGCCAGGCACAATGGCTCATGCCTGTAATCCCAGCACCTTGGGAGGCTGAGGTGGGTGGATCACAAGGTCAGGAGTTCAAGACCAGCCTGGCCAAGATGGTGAAACCCCATCTCTACTAAAAATACAAAAATTAGCTGTATTTGGGAGGCTGAGGCAGGAGAATCACTTCAACCCAGGAGGTGGAAGTTGCAGTAAGCTGAGGTGATGCCATTGCACTCCAGCATGGGCAACAGAGCAAGACTCTGTCTCAAAAAAAAAAAAAAAGAGAGAAAAAGAATGAGTTGAGTGGATGAATGAATTTCTCCCCTCCGCCTCTGATTTTCTAGTGTCCCTTTTTGACTTCCTCTAGCATTAGTCTTTTAGACAGATAGCAGGCCAAAAACCTGGAGGCTCCCCTGACCCCTACCTCTTCTTTCCTTTTCCTGTCTCAGCAGTCTTTCCCTTCTCCCCAACCTTTCTTGAGCACCTCCTGAATGCTAGCACCAGGGACATAAAGATGAGTTAGGTATTCTCCTGCCTTCAAAGGGCTTACCATCAAGTAAGGGAGACAGAGGAGTGGAGTTTCTGCATCAAGCACGGTGAGAAGGCAAAGGAATGGTGTCTAACTCAGCCTCACTAAGGAATACTCCTCAGAAAATGGGAGCTGAGCTGAGTCCTGAAGGACACATGGAAGATGGTTAGCATGGACTGAGGGGAAGGGTATTCTAGGCCAAGGGAGCTACATGGGCAGAGATGGGGGGATGTGGGATGGCTTGCTTACTTAACTACAGGTAACTCAGTGTGGCCAGAGAGGGGTGGAGTGAGAGGAGTGTAGTGAAGAGATCAGGGATCAGGTCCCCAGGGGCCTTGTGTGTATGCTGAGGGGTTTGGACTCTTCCCTAAAGTCCCCAGGGGCTGGGTTGTAAGAGGATCAGATTCCCATCTTACATAATTCTGCAGCAGCATGTTTGGTGGATCACAAAGGCAAGCCTGGTGGCAAAGAACCAAGTAAAAAGCTATTGGAGACAAGGATTAATGGTTACCTTCTCCGCCCCTCCCCAAAAGCTGTGACAGTGGAGCTAGGGAGAAGTATCTAGATCAGGTGATGATACTGAAGTACTGCACAGGACTGGGGAGCTGGCTGACTAGAGGGGAGTTAAGGAGTCCCATTCTCTGGAGCCTTCCGTCACTGTAGCCCTCATGGTTGTCCATCCCTACCCCAGCTATATGAACTCATCATATCTCATCCTATCAGGCACTCACTGAAAGACCTTCAGAAGTTGTCATTACCTGTAGACTCCCTAGCCTGGATTCAGATTCATTCCCACCTTCTTTCAGAACGTATCGCCTGCTATTGTCTGTCTTGAATCCACTCCAGCCCAACCTTGGTACTCAGAGTTTCCCAAAGACCATGAGTTATTACCCAGCCTCCACCATTGCTGTTCTTGCACTTGGATTTGCTTCCCATTCCTGTCTGATTTCTACTTACCTTTTAAGGCCCAGTAAAAACTGAATGGTAATATCCAGTCTTGGCAAGAGTACAGGGAAATAGGCATTCTTACCACAGTGTTGGTGAGGATGTGTATTTCACCCTTCTAGAGGGCAATCTGGCAGTGTGTCTCAGAAGCCTGAAATAATGTTACCTCCCTTTTGGTTTAGCAGTTTCACTTCAGGGAACATATCCTAAGGAAATAACTGGAGACACTCATAAATATGTATGTAGGCCAGGCACAGTGGCTCACGCCTATAATCCCAGCACTTTGGGAGGCTGAGGTGGGTGAATCATGAGGTCAAGAGATTGAGACCATCCTGGCCAACATGATGAAATCCTGTCTCGACTAAAATACAAAAAATTAGCCAGGCACGTCCCAGCTACTTGGGAGGCTGAGGCAGGGGCATTACTTGAACATCCAGGAGGCAGAGTTGCAGTGAGCCGAGATTGAGCCACTGTACTCCAGCCTGGCAACAGAGCAAGACTCCGTCTCAAAAAAAAAAAAAAAAAAGATGTATGTATAAGGATATCATTACAGCATTACATATAATTGGGGAAAATTAGAAACCTAAACCAACAGTAGAGAATTGGTCAAACAAATTGGGAGATATTATTAAGCTGGTATACAATGAAGCTACTTAGTATAATACTGCAAGTGCATATTAGGTATTATATATTGAGAAAAGCCTTAAAACAGTATGTAGAATATGGTCCCATTTTTGTTATGACTCTACATACCATTTATCTGTCTGTCTGTCTATTAATCCAATCGATCTATCTGTTTATTTTTTTTATAGAGACAGGGTCTTGCTTTGTTGCTCAGGCTGATCTTGAACTCAAGTGATCCTCCTGCCTTGGCCTCCCAAAGTACTGGCATTGTAGGTGTGAGCCACCGTACCCAGCCTCTATATTTTTTTGAGACAGGGTGTTGGTCTGCCATCCAGGCTGGAGTGCAGTGGCAGGATCATAGCTCACTGTAACCTTACTCCTGGGCTCAAGCAGTCCTCCTACCTTAGCCTCTCGAGTAGCTATAACTATGGGCATCTGCCAGCATGCTGGGCTAATTTTTTCTTTACTTTTTGTAGAGATGGGGGTCTTTCTGTGTTGCCCTGGGTGGTCTTGAACTCCTGGCCTCAAGTGATCCTCCTCAGCCTCCCAAAGTGCCAGGATTACAGGCATGAGCCATGATACTTGGCCTATACCATATCCATATCTATAGCAAATTGATTGGGGTTTGTCAAATCTGGGATTGGTTAAAGACTTAACTTATAACTTTTTTGTTGTTGTTAACTTATAACTTTTTTGTTGTTGTTCAAGATGGAGTCTCACTCCATTGCTCAGACTGGAATGCAGTGGCACAATCTCAGCTCACTGCAACCTCCACCTCCCAGGTTCAACTAATTTTCCTGCTTCAGTCTCCTGAGTAGCTGGACCTGCAGGTGCGCGCCACCATGGCTGGCTGATTTTTGTATTTTTAGTAGAGACAAGGTTTTACTACGTTGGCCAGGCTGATCTTGAATGCCTGACTTCAGGTGATCCACCTGCCTTAGCTTCCCACAGTGCTGGGATTACAGGTATGAATCACTGTGCCTGGCCTTGTACCGTAACTTCTAAGCATTAAACCTTCCAGATGACTCTTACTCTCAAAATCATTTGAAGACAGCTTTATTCTATAGACAAGGAATTTGGATCTATTCTGGGTACTTACAAAGAATCTGAAGGTCCGCAAAATTTTTTCTAATTGATGCTATCAGAGTTTATAAGGTTCATTGATATCAAAATTATATCCTGATCTACATTCTTGACAAGATTTCCTTAAAGTTTATTCTACTTGCTTTAATTTTTTTTTTCCATTAGAAGGAAAAGTTCTAAATACCAAACTTTTTTTCTCTCTTAAAAAGAGATAAGGGTCTCACTGTGTTGCCAGACTGGCCTTGAACTCCTGGCCTCAAGTGATCCTCCCGTCTTAGCCTCCTGAGTAGTTGGTACTACAGGTACATGCTACTTTGCCTGGCCCAAATGCAAAATATTTTAACACAGAATAACTAAATAAAAATGGATCAGCTGGGTGTTGTGGCTTATGCCTCTAATCCCAGCACTTTGGGAGGCTGAGGCGGGTGGCTCACCTGAGATGAGGAGTTTAAGACCAGCCTGGCCAACATGGTGAAATCCTGTCTGTACTGAAAATACAAAAATTAGCTGGGTGTGGCAGTGCACACCTGTAGTCCCAGATATTCAGGAGGCTGAGGCAGGAGAATTAGTTGAGCCTGGGATGCAGAGTTTGTAGTAAGCCAAGATTGTATCACTGTACTCTAGCCTGGGTGACGGAGTGAGACTCCATCTCAAAAAAAAAAAAAAAAATGGATTCAATTCTAATGTAATATCATGCTTTCATAAATATCCTCCACATAACTGTTAACATTATACAGTGCAAGCATCTGACAATTTATTTATTTATTTTTTTTGAGACGGAGTTTCGCTCTTGTTGCCCAGGCTGGAGTGCAATGGCGCGATCTCGGCTCACTGTAACCTCCGCTTTCTGGGTTCAGGCAATTCTCCTGCCTCAGCCTCCTGAGTAGCTGGGATTACAGGCACACGCCACCTTGCCCAGCTGATTTTTTGTATTTTTAGTAGAGATGGGGTTTCACCATGTTGACCAGGATGGTCTCGATCTCTTGACCTCGTGATCCACCTGCCTCGGCCTCCCAAAGTGCTGGGATTACAGGCGTGAGCCACCGCGCCCGGCCCGCATCTGACAATTTTTAAATAATCTTGCTAAGATTGTGTGCTTATGTCTTGTAACTTTGTATTTTTTTTTTAATTTTCAGGGGTGACAACCAGTTTTGTAGTCAAAAAGCAGCCATCTATTCATTGAATTTTACAGCAAACCCACCTCAAAGGGTATTTAAACTTGTTGACCAGATTAATCCATCTATTTTCTGCATTTATACTACAAACTGTAAGTATTTGACATTGACGTGAAACTCTGGACAGTTTTTCTCAAAGTAATGGAAAAATGTCTCAGATTTATTGTATTATTATTATTTTTTGAGATGGAGTCTTGCTCCGTCATCCAGGCTGGAGTGCAGTGGCACAGTCTCGGCTCACTGCAACCTCTACCTCCTGGGTTCAAGCAATTCTCCTGTCTCAGCTGCCTGAGTAGCTGGGATTACAGGTGTGTGCCACCACACCCGGCTTATTTTTGTGTTTAGTAGAGATGGGGTTTCACTGTGCTGGCCAGGCTGGTCTCAAACTCCTGACCTCAGGTGATCCACCCACCTCAGCCTCCCAAAGTGCTGAAAATTACAGGCGTGAACCACCGAGCCAGGCCCTGTTTTATTCTTTTTTCTTTTCTTTTTTTTTTTTTTTGAGACAGAGTCTTGCTCTGTGGCCCAGGCTGGAGTGCAGTGGCATGGATCTTGGCTCACTGCAACCTCTGCTTCCTGGGTTCAAGTGGTTCTCTTGCCTCAGCCTCCCGAGTAGCTGGGATTACAGGCACCCACCAACATACTTAGCTAATTTTTGTATTTTTAGTTGAGATAGGGTTTCACCATGTTGGCCTGGCTGGTCTCAAACTCCTTACCTTAAGTGATCCTCCTGCCTCGGCCTCCCAAAGTGCTGAGGTTATAAAATCTGAGGCCTTGCCCAGCCTTCAGATTTAAAACAATTATTCTATGTTTTGGTATATGTATAGTGTATATCTTTAGAGACCATGTCACAGGTTACAGGAAGTAACTTTATAGACCTGTGGGCATGCACATTTTCTTTAAAAGTAACTATGCTCGTGTAGTTGTCTTTTGAAACCTTATACTTATCTCAAAGGTGTTTATAATATGCAGACATATATAGGAATCCAGGTTTCTATATATACATGTGTTTTTTTTAACTTTATTTCCTCCTGGTTTAATGGTTGAAAATCAGGTTCAGCTTTGAACATTACCTGTGGTTTCTATTTCCTTTTTTTCTTTTATTTTTACTAAGAATATTTGCATGAAAACAGGATCTTTATTTTTATCTGAGAATTTAGCTCAAATATATGTCTTGATCCAAAGTACATGTACGTGTAAAATGTTATCACGATATCAAAGATCAGAGATATGTTTATGCTTTTGTCAATTAAACTCTGTCATATTTTCAGAATATTTTTATAGATTTTGGTTTTGTTCTCTTGTGATTGAAAACAGGCTCTGTGCTCTGTATGATTTGTAATCTGAAGTGATAACTGGCCAGGGACTGTCAGGTTCTCTACCATAACACCAGCCCAGTGAACGTGCCAGCCTCTCGTGTACATAGCACATTTTGCTTCTGGGCTTTCATGGTGGCTGTGTGAGAGTAGAAATTGGATTCTTTCATTCCCATAGCCATCTGGAGAGAGCTTCTCCTTACAGGTTAATACAGCAGACTCATCAGTCCAGAGGCTGGAGAAATAGATTATTAATGGCTTCTGATGTACTGTTTACTTGTAGGTGCTAGAAACTATTGCTTTCCCATTATTAGAAGAAGCAGACTGAGTCTGGAGGTCCTGTTTATTTAATAAGCTTAAAAGATCCTGGGAGAAGTGAATATGGTAAAGGACACTTTGTTTTGTTTCTTTTTTTTTTTTTTTTTGAGACAGTCTTCCTCTGTCGCCCAGGCTGGAGTGCAGTGATACCCTCTCAGCTCACTGCCACCTCTGCCTCCTAGGTGCCAGCGATTTTCCTGTCTCAGCTGCCCAGTAGCTGAAATTACAGGTGCGTACCACCACGCCCAGCTAATTTTTGTGTTTTTAGTAGAGATGGGGTTTCACCATGTTGGCCAGGCTGGTCTTGAACTCCTGACCTCAGGTGATCTGCCTGCCTTGGCCTGCCAAAGTGCTGGGATTATAGGCGTGAGCCACCGCACCTGTGCCAATATACTATTTTTTTTTTTTTTTTTAACATCAGCCTAGTGCTACCAAAAACTGTTTCCAAAACCTATATACAGATCATACATATTATACATATATTTTATACTGATTTAAAATACTGTTTTTTTTTTTAAAAACAGATAAACCTGCATTGTCCTTTATTAATCCAGAAGTGCCTGATGAAAACAGTTTTGACACATTGATGAGAACAGCTGATGGTTTTACATCGAATGCTGAATCAGATATTTCTTTCACAACCAAACTGGATGTTCCTTCTACTGCTAAATATGAGGTGAGCCTGAACTTGATTGATTCTTTTCATCCCATCGCAAATATCTTGTCCTTGTAAGTTAATTTCCAAGGTTACTAGCAGAACTGGCTTCTCTGAGACATAGAGTTGATATTATAGACTAAAAAACTTAATGTTCATGCCTGCAAATCAAAGATCATGAAAATTAAATCTGAATATTTGAATTCTGAATAGGATTTAAAGTTGTTTATTCTGTGATAAACTTATATTTTTGTCTCTTCAGAGTTCTTTGTTCACCTCAACCTTAAAAGATATAGCCAAATGCTGAGATCTTGGAGTAGATTAGTTGGATGCCTGGTCATCTTCTCCAAATTGTATTTAGTTTTACAGATTTTGGAAGATGTTGCTGTTTTATGTCTATTCAGTAGTACACCTTTAAATGTGACATATATTAACTTTGAATGAACCTTAACTTTTTTGGAAGCATCTTTTTTTCAAAGTAAAATGTAAAAGCAACATGTACTAATTCTACAAGTTCAAAGTATAGAGGCATATAAGTAAAAGTTGAAAGATCCCTGTATCCATTAAAATTCATACTGCAAATCACTTTGAAAAGATTGGTATGTATTCTTCCTGATTTTTAAATATGTCTATTATAATGTATATATGGTATTGTATAGAAGTGGGATTTATAGCTATCCACATTGTTCTAGAAAATTCCTTTTTCAGTGATAAATCATGTGCATCTTCCCACGACAATGTAAAAGTTACCATTGAGCATTTTCCATGTGCCAGGCACTGTGAAGAGCTTTTCAGGCATTACTTCATGCACCCCCCTGGGAGGGATGCACTATTGTCTCCATTTACCTGATGAGAAAAACTTAAGCACAGGAAAGTAACTTGTCAGAACTAGTTCTGATAGCTGCATACTTTTTTTTTTTTGAGACGGAGTCTTGCTCTGTTGCCCAGGCTGGAGTGCAGTGGCGTGATCTCGGCTCACTGCAACCTCTACCCTTCAGGTTCAAGCGATTCTCCCATCTCAGCCTCCTGAGTAGCTGGGATTGCAGGCATTTGCCATCACGTCCAGCTAATTTTTGTATTTTTGTAGAGATGGGGTTTCACCATATTGGCCAGGCTGGTCTCAAACTCCTCGCCTCAGGTGATCTGCCACCCTCAGCTTCCCAAAGTGCTGGGATTACAGGTGTGAGCCACCTCGCCTGGAGCTGCAGTTACAAAATATTCTTGGCTGGGTGTGGTGGTTGATGCCTGTAATCCCAGCACTTTGGGAGGCTGAGGTGGGCAGATCACTTGAGGTCACAAGTTCCACATCAGCCTCCACAATATAGTGTAACCTTGTGTCCACTAAAAATACAAAAATTAGCTGGGTGTGGTGACACATGCCTGTAGTCCCAACTACTCGGGAGACTGTGCATGAGGATTGCCTGAACCCAGGAAGCAAAGGTTGCAGTGAGCTGAGATTGTGCCACTGCATTCCAGCCTGGGCAACAGAGCAACACTCCATTTCAAAAAACAACAACAAACAGAATATTCTTTTTCTGTGTATGTATCTGAGCTGTTTCAATCTTATCAGGCATGTTTCCAGTTTTTGCTATTATAATCCACAATGAACATTCTCATATGTACATATATTTTTGTACACTTCTCTGATTAATTCCTGTGAATGAGGTAGTTTGGTAAAAATGAATGGAAAACTTAAGTATTGATACCAAATTGCCCTCCAGAAAAATTGCAGTGCTTTACACTCTCAGCTCCAGTGAGTGGAAGGACTTGTTTCCCATACTCCTCCTGGCACTAAAGCATTTGGATAAACTTTCAAATTTGAGGAAATTGGCTATAAGCCTAATAGATATCAATTTTAGTTTTGAAGATTAATTTTGCGGAGTTTGGTTTTGGGAAAGAAGGCATTCTTTCATAAAATTGACTTATAAAAAATGATTTTTATGATTTTAATGTATACTGTGTTATTTAAATAATTAATGCTAGTGAAAAATAATTCTCACCCCTGTGTTGAGTCACTTGGTGCCTGTCTGCTGAGGCAAACCCTTATGTCAGTGTCTCATGCACTCTTCCAGAGGAATTCCATGACTAAGAAGCCTACAAATACAGTAACATGCACACACAGAAACACACATCCTTATAAAAATGGTGAACATAGCTAGATGTGAACTTCTTGTGGGCAAGAACCACATCTGTTTTTTGCTCATCACTGTGTCCCTGACGCCTGCAGTGCTGCTTGGCACACTGTAGATGCCCGATAGTGTTGAATGAATGCCTAATTATGCCATAATGACCGTTGGTTGTGTTTGCAGTATGGAGTTCCTCTGCAGACCTCAGATTCGTTTCTGAGATTTCCTTCGTCCCTGACGTCATCTCTGTGCACTGATAATAACCCTGCAGGTAAGAAAGTGGCCATTCTTCTCTCCCTAAACATTTGCTGTTATTAGGTTGGTGCAAAAGTAGTTGTGGTTTTGGTCATTAAAAGTAATGACCAAAACCAAAATTATTTTTGCACCAACTTTACATTTATAGTAGTCATAATTAAATAGGCCTCATAACTAGAAACAGAATCTTTGGGTTAAAAGAGGCCTCAAAGTTCATGTAGTTCAATTCCCCACCCAGGGCCAGTCTTTCTACCACATGCAGTCACTGCTTGAGCACTTGTAGTGATGGGGAACTCACTACCAGAAAACAGCCTTCTCAGTTGTTTAACACTTCCAGTTGTTGGAAAGTTCTAAAGTGTATCAACAGCTAACAATTATTAAGCACTTACTGTGTGCTGGGTATTGTGTTAAGTGCTTGCGTTTGCTTTCCCTTAAAGCCTCACTATAATCCCTTGAGGCCAGGTTAGTGTCTCCATTTTTTAGATCAGGAAACAGAGATGTGCAGATTCTTGCTTAGGTTCACTTAGGCAGTGGGGAAGTCGGGATGGACCCCATGCAGTTGGCCTGCGGCCTGTGCTCCCTATGCTCCTCTCTCTTCAGGAGCCTCCAGTAGTTTGCAGAATGGACCCCTAGGCAGTGGAAGGCAGCAGGCTTGACTCTCCTATCCCCAAGGGGCCTCCCTGTGAAGAAGCTAAGTAATGGACAGTAGGAAAATGTATTCTGCTGAGAAGACAATCTTGCACACACCAAGAACAGTGTATGTTAAACCCAAACCAAAGTGTGGATGAAGCAGCTAATGCCTATAATCCCAGCGCTTTGGGAGGCTGAGGTGGGTGGATTGCTTGAGACGAGGAGTTTGAGCCAGGGCAACATAGTGAAACCCTGTCTTTATATAAAAATTAGCCAGACATGGTGGTGCACATCTGTAGTCCCAGCTACTCAGGAGGCTGAGGTAGGAAGATTGCTTGAGCCAAAGAGGTGAAGGTTGCAGTTGCACTACTGCACTCCATCCTGGGTGACAGAACAAGACCCTGTCTCAAAAAGGAAAAAACAAAACAAACCAAGACAACCCCCCACCCCCTGCAAAACCAAAAAACCAAACCAAACTGAGATACTGTTTTCCCCTGTCAGATTGGCAAAGCTCAAAAAAACTGAAGCTGTGGGGAAATAGGCACTCACCTACATAGCTGGTAAGACTGTAAATTGGTACAGCCTTGGTGAAGGGCAGCTTAGCAATTTGTATCCAAATTACGAATGAATGTGCTTTTCAACCCACCTGTTCTATTTCTAGGAGTTGATCCTACAGAAATTTTGGCCCATATGAGAAATACTAGATTGCTGTATTGTTGGTGATAGCAAAGATGGAGACAACTTAAATATTCATTAATAGGGAACTGGTAAAATAATTATGCCACATCTATAATATATTAATTATCCCCAAGAAAGGAGGAGCTGCTTCATGTAGCAACAGGCCAATCTCCAAGATACATTGTTCAGTGAACAAAATGAAGGGCAGAATAGTGTGTATATTGTACATTTGTTTCCAAAAGGGGAAAGAAACAATAATTCAAATATATGATGTTTTTTACATATATATTTGCTTTTATTTGCATAGAATATTTCCAGAAAGATACACAAGAAGCTTCATACCAGTTGCCTCTGGAGAAGGGAACTGGTGGTAGCTGGAGGGTAGGACGGTGATTGAGGGGGACTTTACTCATTATCCTTTTGTGCTTTTTGAATTTTGAATCTCATAAATGTATTACCTATTTGAAATCTAATTTAAAACCCTGTTTAAAACATTGTATGCCAGGTACAGTGGTTCATGCCTGTAATTCCAGCACTCTGGGAGGCCAGGGCTAGTGGATCACTTGAGGTTAGGAGTTGGAGACCAGCCTGGGCAACATGGGGAAACCGTGTCTCTCCTAAAAACAAAACATAAACAAATAACAACAACAACAAAATTGTATTTCTGTGTTGTAACTTATTTTACAGTTTTACTTAGATTACAATTTTTTTTTTTTTTTTGCCATTGGCCAATTGAAAAATTTCTTCTCTTTTGTTTTTCTTTTTCCTTGGGAATGTTAATGATTTCCAGCATTTCTGGTGAACCAGGCTGTTAAGTGCACCAGAAAAATAAATTTAGAACAGTGTGAAGAAACTGAAGCCCTCAGCATGGCTTTTTACAGCAGCCCAGAAATTCGGAGGGTAAGAATTATTTTGAAGTGGAACTGATTCATTAGGTATGTTTCTGTTCTTTGTGCCCTTTTAAAATATGACAAGTACAGAATAATTTCAGTACGTGATTGACACTTGAGTTTAAATTTCTCCAGTACTTTTGTATCAGTGATTGTTGAAATAATCCTTTAAATAATTTTTATTTTTATATAGTTAGCTCATATTTTGCTTTTGTTGATTTTTTTCTTTCATTCATTTTGATGGTAACCAATAATATCTGTCTCCTAAATAAAAACAAATCTTTACTAATAACTAAAAACTTTAGAAATCATCTTCATGTCTGTGACAGAGATCTTCAGAAAACATATTCATATCTGTGACAGAAATAATCTTATTAGCCCCAAAAAGGGATCTCTCTCAGAAGCAAGCCAGAAAATAAGAGGAAATCCACTTTCTGGTTGGCAGATGACACAGGCTGTCAGGAAAGAACAGGAAACAGGAGAAGAAGGCATGGTGGTGAAAGGGCCCCTTTTCTCTGGTTGCAGTGACTGAACCCTAAACTGAAGAAATGAGTGAGGCCACTGGCCAGCATGACAGTTGAGATGGAGGGTGGCAAGGGAAGATTTTTTTCAATGATTAAAAGCCATATGATAGGCCAAGGCAGGAGGATCACTTGAGGCTAGGAGTTCAAGAACCAACCTGGGCAACATAGTGAGACCCTGTTTCTACAAAAAATAAAAAACTAGTGGGGCATGGTTGGGCACACCGGTAGTCCCAGCTATTCAGGAGGCTTAGACAGGAGGGTTGCTTGAGCCTAGGAGGCCGAGATTGCAGTGAGCTATGATTGTATTCCAGGCTGGGTGACACAGTGAGACCTGGTCTCTCAACCAAACAAAACAATCCCCCTGCCAGAAATATATGATTATTGTTATAAGGGTCCCCTTCCCAATTTCCTTTTTATGAGGGGTATAGGAGTAGAGTGGTTCATGGCACCATTATTTATCTGGACTTCAGTTTTTTGTGTGTTTTTTTTTTTTTTTCTTTTTGAGATGGCATTTCACTCTTGTTGCCCAGGCTAGAGTGCAATGGCATGATCTCGGCTTACCGCAACCTCTGCCTCCTGGGTTCAAGTGATTCTTCTGCCTTAGCCTTCCAAGTATCTGGGACTCCAGGCATGTGCCACCACACCTGGCTAATTTTTTCTATTTTTAGTAGAGATGAGATTTCACCATGTTAGCCAGGATGGTCTTGATCTCCTGCCTCTTGATCTGCCCGTTTTGGCCTCCCAAAGTGCTGGGATTACAGGCGTGAGCCACTGCGCCTGGCCTGTAACCGTCTCCTCTTCCCTCCTTTTATCTCTCTCTCTCTCTCTCTCTCTCTCTCTCTCGTGTAAGTCAGCCATCTAGGCTTGTGAATTCTTCCGGTTAGCTTGACCTCACAGTTGTCTTGAAGTAGTCCCTCGGGCATCCAGGTACAGCTCTTTTTCAGCACAGGTTCCTCCAAACATGTCTATTTGTTTCCCTCCCCACATCTCCCAGTGGGCCCTTCAGAAAGACAGCTCTGGCTCTACTGGGGAGGCAAGAGTTTGTCATCAAGGAGGCTTGGGCCAGAGGCAGGAAGACCAGTTAGGAGGCTGTGGAAATCGTCTGGTCAAGCAGTGATGGCCTTTCAGTATGGACAGGTACAGTGAGAGTGACCAGGAGTGCAAGAACTGTGCTTTCTACAGTGCTTATGGCAGTGAGGCCATGTGGAAATACAGAATAATGACCTTGGAGCATGGAGGCTTCCTGAGGCTAGTGTGGTGAGCTTCCACCTGGAGGAAATGAAGATAGAAGGAAAACGCAGTGTGACCTCTTTGATTAGGACATGGATTCAAACATATGCAAGTAGGAAGTCTTGATCAAGGAAATTCTGTTTTCTTCTTTGTGAAACCTTTAATAAGGTGAATATACTCTTTAACCCAAGATCTGAAAAACCAATGAAAATGCTTCCTTTTGTTGTACTTAACACAATTTTTTGTGATTTCTTTTTATCTAGGTACCTGATTCAAGAACAAAGGTAAGAGTATTTTATAATGGAAAGTAAGATAGTTTATGATACTTTTATTTCTGAGCCCTTTTAAATGAATACAGTTACAATTAGAAGGGGGCCTTGTTGCCAATAACAAGTACATTTGTGAAAAGCAGGCAGAAGTGCAATAGGGAAACTCCTTGGTGGGAATCACACTTCCGGGCTCTCCAGCTGCCTCCGTTGTTATGGTTTTGTGCTCTTCTGTGGTTCAGTGACACCACTGTCATGACCAGCAGTGGGTGCGATTGACTTTTGGACATTCAGGCCGTCCCTTGCTCTCTTCTTGGTCTTTTGTTGAGAAAGCTGGCCAGCTCCCAGGTTGCTGCCTGTCCAGGGAAGAAGCTGTAAACACTTTGCCCAGTGGGTGTCCACACTGTGTGGGAGGCATGCTGCGCAGTGTACCTTCAGGGCTTGATTTGAGGGTGGGTTCTTTTCAAGTCCTTATCACCCCAGATGTGGGGTCTGTCTGGTTGTGGTCAGGATGCCAAGGTCTCTTTGTGGCTATGTCAGAAGGAATGTGGATCCCTCACCCCTCAATCTAGGCTCTGTGCCAACACAGTCCCCAAGGAGGCCTGAGTTTGTGGCTTTGTCATAGTCCCCCAGCCTGTGGAACTGGCCAGCCTAGGTTCAAAACTCAGCTTTGCCATTATTTTCTTGTCTGACTGACACCACCATCTCCCTTTGTCAAGTGGATGGTAAACGTTTGCACAGAGGCATGATGCAAGGTCGAGTGGGAGGAGCACATGGGGTACTGGTGCGGAGTCTGCATAAGGGACGCACTCAGGATGGGGACGCATCAGTTGTGATTCACTTAATTGATGCTCTGGACACAAATGTGTATGAGGGAGACGTTTGAAAAGGGTTGGAGGGAGGTGAGAGCTAGCCCATTGCATGACTTTCAGACTGCATCCCCAGGAGCCCTAGGGTTCCACGTGACTTTGGATCTCACATGATGGTGGTGGGGCTGGATCCCCTCTTCTGTGAAGGTGTTTTCAAACTTGTTTTAGTTATAGAAACCCTTTCTCAAATGCAGTCTGAAGCGGAAACCTCCCTAGAGTATAACAGACTAAATCTGAAGCTCTGCTGGTTAGAGCAGGGATGGGGCCTGAAGCCTTCCACCTGCCCAGCCTCCTTCTCTCTCCTCTTTGTTCCCAGTGAAGAATGCTAGGGCTCCCGGGAATGCAGTCTGAAAGTTATGCAGTGGGCTAGCTCTCACCTCCCTCCAACCCCTAGAGAGTGCTTGGATTCTACCATTCAAAACTGGAACCATCTGTGGGGGGCAGCAGCCCATCAGCTTTATTTGTGATATATCCTTATTTCTTTTTTTTTTTTTTTTTTTTTTTTTTTTTTTTTTTTTTTTTTTTTTTTTTTTTTTTTTTTTTTTTTTTTTTTTTTTTCTGTTCTCCCTGTTAACCTCTGTTTTTCCTTATTTCTTTTTTTTTTTTTTTTTTTTATACGGAGTTTTTCTTTTTTTTTTTTTTTTTTTTTTTTATGGTGCGGTCTCGGCTCACCGCAACCTCCGCCTCCTGGGTTCAAGCAATTCTCCTGCCTCAGCCTCCTGAGAAGCTGGGATTACAGGCACGCGCCACCATGCCCAGCTAATTTTTTGTAGTTTTAGTAAAGACGGGGTTTCACCATGTTGACCAGGATGGTCTCGATCTCTTGACCTCGTGATCCACCCGCCTCGGCCTCCCAAAGTGCTGGGATTACAGGCTTGAGCCACCGCGCCCGGCTATATCCTTATTTCTAAGGCAGCATCCAGTATGTACTGGGCACTCAATGAGCTATGTATTTAGTAATGAATGTCCTGGAGGCTGGTCCAGTCAGGGTGGGAAGACCAATTATGAGGAATGATGGCTATTACTGGAATGCTTGGAGCAGGTGCCAGGCACTGTTCTAAGTGCTGTACATGTCTGATGTCTTCAAATCCTTTTGGCAGTCTTAGGAGGTAGGTTCAGTTATGTCACTCTGTGGCAGATGAGTCACAGGGAGATGAATGAGCTTGCCCACGGCTGCACAACTGGGAAGTGGCAGAGCTGGGACAGGGATCCAGGCGGTCTGGCCCCAGGGACCTTATACTTTTCCACCATGCTGGGTCAGCTCTACTCTGTGAGCCCACGTGGCAGGCTTCACACACCTTCCTTCTTTGCATCCTGTGGCCACACAGGATGTGGCAGATTGGAACTTGGGCTTCCAACTTACGTCTGTGTGACACCAAAGATTGTGCTCTAAAGGACAAGCATATAAACTAATAGTAGGGATTTGTTTGAAATTTTCTTAAAAAGCAGATTTTAAGGTTAGAGGATCAGGAGTATAGAAATTGGGTCTAATCTTGCCACTAAGTGAAGATTGCCTGGAATCATTGTCAGTATCTGTGGAGCCATCAGCGAAAGATTCCAGAGTAGCCCTGTAGTTTTGTTGAGTATGCTGGAGTTCTTTACTAGTGGTGTGGTTTGGGGATAGGATGTGATGGAAGAGGAATCAAGGAAAGCAGCACGGCCCTACCGTTTCCTTTTTGTGACTATTGAGTGAGCTGTTGAGATGAGGGCAGCTCCTGCCATTGACACCAGGACTTTCCAGAGCTCTTTGACATGGAATCCTTCGGTTTTTGCCAATTCCACCCACATACCATGGAAGTAGCTCTGACAGAGTTTGGTATGGCAGGGTATGCTCTATCCTGGAACCCAGTGTCATTGCTGAATCAGGAACCACTATGCTCAGAGTTAAGGAACCCAGGGTTGCCCTTGTGTTAAACAGGAGCTAATTGAATCGCAGCCTAGGACCTCCTTCATGCTGAAACCTCTTGGTGTGGTGTGTTATGCAGAGGACCTCGTGGTGACTGGCAAGTCCCTTCTGTCATTCTCATCACATGACAGCTTATATCTTTGTTACTGAGTCATGTCACATTCTTTTTTTTTTTTTTTTTTTTTT